GTAATTTTCCATCCGGCTCAACTTGCGCTGCACAAAAATGGTCGTAACTAGGTTTTTTATGGCAACGATGTGACCTGAACGGCTGTGCCATCCGTTAGATTTACCTCGATAGTACATTTGACTGTTTTTGCGACGTAAGCAGCCGCTTTTAGCGCAACTTGCGCTGAAAACGCCTGTATGAGGAGAATATTAGTGTCTCTTTGGAGTTGCTAGAAATTGTTGATAACTACTGAACACAGTGCAGCCGATCATGCTGTTCAGCATACCATTTGAAGAGCCGGCGTCAGCGCAGGAATCGTGGCTGTGGTGTGGAGAATTTGCCTCGCTTCGCACGAAAAAAAGTGTAAATGACATTACACTGCTTCTATGTTCTGGGTCATTGCAGTGCTAAATGCAACATTAGCTCCAGGAGTGACGTCAATCTCACGACGCACCTATCTTCTCCGGCTGATTTCTCGTCACCATATGGTGATAAGTATTCAACAAAGGATCAAAAGAAATCGTTAAAACCTCGAGAATATCTGTCCCACTTCTCGCACTCAGTAATATCTGACGTTTTCTCAACGAGAGATTTAGCGAGTACGGATGGCGAGCTCAGCTTCTCCTGTGATTACAATCGTAAGATTTTGGTGATTTCACCGCCTTAAAATTCGTTGCACAGATACCCAAGTGAATTTCAATTTCTTCCAGCTTTATATGAGCTTCCGACGGAAGTAGTGAGTCGACTTACCTTGGTCACTTCATGTAAGAGTAACCTAGTCTTTTCTGGTTTCCTGACAAATTCTTACGGTACGCTCGTCACACATGGTTTGCACTACCACGTTTGCGGTTACCGCGGAGTTTCTCAGCAGCTAAAATATTGCTCTTCTCCCTCGGCATGAAAATTTCCAATGCCTCTGACACGCTCGTAAAGCTTGAATTCTTAGCACACCATCCTGCACTCGCTGCACGAAAGTTGCGTCTCACATTTGAATGCGAGGTGCACTCGTTCGGAGACCTTCCAGCTCATACCGCTTCGGGGAGAGGGTCAGATGCCACTACGGTGTTAGGAGGTCTTAGCATCTGGGTGTAGCCCCAACTCTCCTTTTTTGTGGAGGACTAAAGCTTCAAGCGTACCCTTTACAACCTATTCACCCGCGCACACCCGCGACATTTATCGCTTCAGATAAGATCGTGATGAGCAAATCTCTTTGATCGCAGTATGTACGTGATTGCCCCTCTTGAAAATCGCAAGCACAATGCGTTGGCGATCCATTTGGAGCAAGGCCGACTTTATGGCCAGCTCATATCCCTCTTTGAGTGGGCAATCTTTTCTTTGACTCGCCCCTTAAAGGCCAGGACTCCCAGTATCTTCTGTATAACGGTGTCTCCACCGGCACCCGGTTGGATGCTTCCGAGCGTGCCTCGTTTGTGCATTCTCAAGACTGGTGGGCTTCCATATGCAGCGATACCGGTAGCGGTGCTTTGTCGCCAATTCTTTTATCCGGTCGGGATCCAGCTTATGTTAAAGTTAAGAAAGCTGCTATATTTGTCCTGAGGCAGTAATTCGGACATTATATGTTCCTTCATTGCAGAGAATACAGTCTTTGCACGACTCAGTCATTAAGTTGGCTACATGTTGTCTAAATTGACACTGGAAGGATGTGCACTTTGCACAGAAAAAACTTTAGCTTTCGTAGAGTCCTTGCCAACGAACGCACAGAGGATTGGCTCATGTGCTCCTGCCAGGGGCGAACCGAAATTTTCTACGATTACTTACTCTGAGACTAATGAGAAACATTTTGTACATACATCCCACTACCTCTCGTAACAAAACTTTTACGTGTGGCTAGCAGCGAGCGTGCTAGGCGAGCGTACAAATTACGCATTGAGGAATGCTGACTCGATAAGACAGAAGTCTTGTCCTTATAACAAGGCATCTGCCTCACAAGCTATCTTACACATGTATGTGACTTAGCGCCTAAATTATATGCTACAGCGCAGCAAATCTACTACGCTATGTACGCTTGTGTATGCCGTTCAGTCTGGTATGATTGTCTAATTTAGGATAGTGAAGTTTTCACAGTGCCTACTGAGATTGAGGATCATCGGTCGTACAACACTGCAGTTTAGAACAAGTACGAGTTTAGCGGATTGCAATCCGCTTATTCCAAGAGTAATTACACCTTTAACACAAGGCTAATTTACTCTTCCGCTTAAATTCAAAACTGACTATTTATTTTTATCTGCGGCAAAGCCGCCTAATATAAAATGCATAGATTTCTAAATAGGTATGGTAAAAATCTAAATACATGTATAACTATTGGCTATCCAGCCCCGGACCGTATTCTTGTTTGGGTATGGTCACACCATGCCCATCTGGTGTGACACAAACCCCTGTTACCAGGATATGTGTAACCCCGTTACACTCTCCTCCATTAAGATTGAGAACATTTACAGTTCCAATCGATTATTGCTTCAACGAGGCTTGGGTGTCCGCTAGACACTGGTTGGAACGAACCGACTTCCGTGCGCAATGAGCCCTGTGACAATGACACCGAAGTCTCCCAATATCTCTGGTTCCAACAGTGCTCACGGGCAAAGCCCAGCTTCATCTCCGCACACGGTGCCATATTGGACCGTGTCATCGCGGCATCGAGGGGCGTAAATCCTAGGATTGATGAGCTCAAGCGTCGCGCTCCGCGCACGCTAACGGTACCTCGTTGGGAATGTGGAGGTGGTCGACTACGAGTCTGACACTCCTTTTCTCGGAGGGAATGACGAGGTAGGCGAGCCGCACCAGCGGCATAAGACGAGTCCAGCTCGCGCCTTGCGGACCCCATGTCCGTTTCCTGACTTCTCGTCACCTGGGGAACGTGGTGTAATCACCAACGTCCTCGATGAGGCACAGAATCGGCAGCTGATAGCTGCTCGTAAGGTGGCTCCGATGCGCGCGCATCCACGGTCGTTTATCGACCGTCGTATGGAAAATGGTTTTCGCCCGGCGGATCCCGCTGTGGAAGCGAAGGACGTGGTAACGCGATCGCTACGCCTCCACATCATCGGGCCCCCGGCCATTACGGAAGATGAGCTTGCCGAACGGAAAGCTCTTCGAGCTCGTTTTCTGGTTCCACAAGAATTTTTGTTTTTAGCTTATCGCACTCGTCTGCGTGCTCAACGAGGTGGCTCTCGTGTACCCGCTATGCGAACGATACCTGTAGTGCTCGCCCCTGGCGAAAGCGCTACAGATGACGAAGCGCGTTTTGAGTGTTGGGTGCAACGGCGCCGCAAACTTTCCTCACTGTATGCCTTACAGCTGAGTCATAAGTAAGTGGACGTGCGTGTGGAGCGACACCTCCGACTTGAGTTTGCTAAACTCAGGGCACGCCGTCGGCTTCCTTTTAATTGTTGCCAGGCGACGTATGGGTCAACCTCTAACGCTCCCGCGAGCTCTGTGTCTGCGACCACAAGATCTCAGGGCCACCGCTTGATCTCAGCTATAGGGGGGTTGAGCGGGGTACCCTGATCTTTCTTACTAAAAGCGTCCACGGCGTCTGGGCAATCTTGCCGAAGTGGCGTCTCAAACTCCCACGACTTTTCGGAGTCGGAATATCCTCGCCAATTCACCAGATAATGGGTCTGACCCTGGTGACGACGTCGTCACGCTAGACGTTCCACGTGATAGAGGACGTCGCCGTTCTCATCTTGAAGAGTCGGTGGCAGGCGGTGACGACCGGTTCGACCGCCGTCCGGTGGCTCGCGATGCTCTTCGAGCCCTTGAGGACGAGAAGCTCCGCTGAGCGTCATGCTGAAGTAGCATATCGAAAGATCTTGAGGATGGGTAGCGCGTCGTGCGCCTGCTGCCTCACCCTTTGGACTACTGCGCTCTGTCGGAGCGACTCCTAGCCGTGGTGCAGGTGAATACGTCGCTGCAGCGACGGTGGGGCGTTTGGCTCAATTGGAATGGAGGATTTTGCACTCCGAGCTCAGAACAAGTTGCTGGTTCAGATTCTAGGCGGCC